AAGAGCTACCGAAGACGGGAACAAGTAGTGTAAAAGCAATGGGTATTTATTGGGCAACCATGGAATGGTGATGTTTCGGAACGGCTGCCTGATCGGCAGTTCGGTTCCGTTAGCCAATGGGTAGGCAGCGCGCCATGCAATAGACGTGAATCTTGTTAAAACGACTTGATGCTCCGGCTGTACATCATTTTCTCAAATCGTTTTCTCATTGAAATAATAAAGCATGCTGTAGAAATGTTACTCTTTCTTACAGAGAAGTACCAAAGTTGTGGCAATCAAACAGCGAAAATAAGAGAGCGTGACAGATGGCGGTAGAACCGATGCAGTGCTTGTTGCTCATGCGGTCCTCCCATCATGAACAACACAGCGGAAACATTCATGGTCGGAAAATAGCCACATAATGCCTTCTGCGAGGAGCGGCCGGATCTCTGAACCGAAGATTAACAACAATGATCCCACCCCAACGTCACAACCCCATCGTTTCAATGAGTAAGGCCATGAAAAGCCATAAGAGCTCTAGCGATGCCGAAGACCGCCTGGGTAAAAACATTTTAATGCGCATCAGTAGCCCGAGCTCATGTTGTTAGTAAGTCAACGTCCCAGGCGCGTTCAGGTAACTCTCCTAATAATTCTGAAGCACCAGTCTGACTGAATTGCATTTAAAAGTGTTCAATCCGAAGTTCTAGTCGAAGTGACGAAAAGTGGACTAGTTGCCCGTCATCTGCAGCTATTGTTTCGGCCAAGACAGCCTTTCTTGTACCCATACATCGAATAAGCAGGGAAAACGGTTTGGTGTCCTATTGGTGTCGATCTTATCTATCTCGCAATCGCTCGCCATCCGCCAAGGCTCTCGGTCGATCCTCGCCCGTCACTTTCTCTTCCCATACATCTAAAGTTTAAAAAGACTTGCTGTGAAGGATGCGCTTAGTGGACTTGACTGCAACATCTACCTGGCCAGTTGGTCACGTTCCCGAACGAAGTCCCTAAACAACGGATAAAACGGCCGTGCCTCATTTCGTGAATCCAAGTTACATCCTTTTCTCCCTCAATGCAAGTGGAAATCCGGATACGAAAGGAAGTTGGAGCAAGTCAATTGCAGCAGAAGATTTCCAATCATCAGCTGGTCAGCCAAGGAAATCCATTTTCGCAAACATGACGAACAAATGGAAAAGCGCCACAGGCGACTGAAAATAATAGTATAGTCAGTTCGTGGGCAAAAATATTTCGAACGTATTAACACTTTCGCAATCGTGAATAAGCCGTATTGCAATGCAATTTTAACTCCGTCAGATCAATTTACCAGGTCAACAAGTGAAGAACACACACACAACTCACTTGATCACAAGCTTTCATGGATGTTTCCAGTTGCTTTGTTAAGACAAATCACAGATTAAGATAATGATCGACACTTCCCTGACTGTATATAACTGATCATGCCCTCCTGTGTGTCAGGTGCAAAATCGAAAATATACCTTATCTATTAAGACAAAGCTTCAGCGTTACGAGAACTTCGGAAATGACGTCTTGAGAATGTTAGTCAAACCCCAAGAAATCTAGAACGCACTCGGGCGCCTTGTAAGCAGTGGATAAGGGACATGAAGTGTTTTCTGCGTTACGCACTCACGACAACTCCAGTTCGCATTCGGTCCACTAATCGCCATCGTCAGTGAGAGCTGATGCTGTAATCCAGGCTGGTATGTCTGCTTCGAAATTTGTACAGTTGACGAGCGATTAACTTCGAAGTTGAATGATTAACTGGAATAGGAAGGGCGCGTTACACGCGTAAGCGTAGAGGCGTGGTCTAAATCGAGACAAGCGCCCAAAGGTTAAAGCACAACCCTGCAGTGACGTGTTATCCCTATAGTTGATGTGGTCAAGCTGAGTCTAGAGTAGAACGTCGTTCGAGTGCGGTAACACGAGTAAACCTGAACGTATGTACCGGAAAGCTGTGCTGCACAGTTATAAAAAGCGGTTCCTAGTGACAGTTCGACAGCATAAACCCCAAAACGGCTTCCTAGGCGATGCTCTAACTCTGATAAGCGACCGACTTAGGGATTTACGCACACCTCGTGCAACAAGCAAGACGTCCGTACTTTTGGCCATTCGGATAAAGGTGGAGAGATGCTTGTAGGGTTCATCTTTGACGGAGTCTGTGGCAGAGTCTCTATCTACCGAGTTCTGGCCTTTGTAGTCCTCGTTTAGATGAGCGCGTGACTGAGCAGTCAGACAGTCGCGATCACAGGGCAGCAAAGCAGCGGTACAACAGTGGCGACGCGAGATTCAATGGAACCCAGAAATGGTAGTCGGCTTCGAACAATTGCAGGCAATCGTGCAGCAGCACCATTTTCCGAACGGAGGGGAAAAGGCTATTGCGCACGCAGCACGGTCCCTAACGTCAGCTGAGAACTATAGTCAAATTGAAAAGGAAGCACTCGTAATCGTTTTCGCCATGAAGCGGTACAACAAGATGCTCTATGGTATGCAATTCACCCTCCTGACTGATCATAAGCCATTGCTGTTGATATTCGGCTTAAAGAAAGGAATTCCCGTTTTTTACCGCGAATCGGTTACAAAGATGGGCGACTATACTGTTGGCGTACGAGTTCAGTATACAGTATGGACCTACGCAATAAATCGGCCAAGAGGATGCTCTGTCTCGTCTCATCAATTCGCACCCAAAGGAGAACGATGATTGAGCGATCGCAGCCATCAAATTCGAATCAGAAGTCCTGACCGATAACATCAGAAGACTACCAGTGACTGCTGACACTATTCGAGCGTAGACTTCGCGAGACAGAACCCTAGAGAAAGTGACGCATACCGTGCAAACAGGTTGACCAAAAGGTAATATCTCTGCTGACTTGCGGCTTTTCTTCAACCGACGTGGATCACTGTCCGTTGTGAACAATTGTTTGATGTTTGAAGACCGGGTGGTGGTGCCAAAGAAACTGAATAAGCAAGTCTTACAGCAGTTTCATACCGGGTATCCAGGTACTAACCGTATGAAAGCATTGGCACGCAGTTTGGTTTATTGGCCCCAAATGGATTCAGAAAGGGAACAATTCTTCCAAAAACGTGAATCCTGTTGACTGGCAGCGAAGGCCCTTCCCAAAAGCCCCAGGCAACCTTGGCCCAAAGCAAAGAAGCCATGGCAGCGAATCAACTTAGATTATGCATGACCAATCGCCGATCAATCCTATCTTGTATTAGTGGACTCTTTCTCCAAGTGGCCCGATGCAAAGTATGACTGCATAGTACACGAAGAACGAGGCGGATAAGCTATTCCAGTATTTCAACTTACCAGAGATGATAGTGACAGACAACGGCACACAATGTACTTAAAATTCCTTTTGGGAGTGGTGCAAAGAGAAAGGAATTCAGCAGATGTTCTTACCACCCTATCATCCGCAATCAAACGGACAGGCGGAACGGTTCGTGGATACCTTGAAACGTGCTCTTTGTAAAGCCGGACAAAAGAAGGTCTCAAATGACGCGATCCAGTCTTTGCTGTGCATGTATCGGAATGCGCCAAACCCAAACGCCCCGGATGGAAGAGCCCCTGCCGAAATTTTATTTGGACGAAAGATCCGGACATTGTACGAGAAACTTGTGTCAAGCGATAAAGAAAAGCATTGTAATTGTCCAGTAGAGGAAAATCTGACAGACAGGCTCTGTCATTTCAAAATTGGTGACATGGTGTTCGCGCGAGACTTCCGAGGACCGAGGAGGTGGTCAACAGAAAGAGTGATCCGCAAAAAGAGCCGAGTCATTTACGAATTAATGGTAGGAAATGAGAAATGGGTCAGGCACGCCAATCAGCTGAGGCCGAATCAAGGCAAGACGCAAAGTTCCTCGGAACCACCATCCTTACCGTGGGACATTTTACTAGACACGTTTGGTTTGGATGAGGAAGCTGAGGAGTTACGTGGATCACAACAGAACCTGCAAGCATCAGCTGATACAATGTAAGCCGACCCGAAAGCGGAGACGACCACAATGGCTACAAGTTGATCCCAAAGCGAAAACCTATGAACAAAGTCGAGTTCGAACGGTACGCTGGCATACTCAATTCGAAAGGGGAGGTAATAGAGACGCAAGCGGAGCACGTAGGCTGTCTGCTACATGCAAAGGTCATCAGCACGGGCGTGGTACGACCTTTGACCTTTCCGCCGAATTTGGGAATCGAGTGCGAATTGATCGACCAGCAAATACAAGCCCGAGTCAAAGGAATCGAACTATTCCGTCAATATGATAAACCCGGGGAGCGGAATTCACTCACACTGACTGAAAACCAGACGCAGAAAAGTGAGTGAGTTTGACCTCCAAAATTTGCGTTTACCAATAAATAGAGTTGATCTATCCTGTAGATATACACTCTGTCACCGAATTCTGGCATTTGTATTCAATCGGTTGGCTGGGCGCGTGACTGAGCAGTCAGACAGTCGCAGTCTCACAGGGCAGCAAAGCAGCAGTACAAGACCTCCTATCCTCGGCTCAACAGCCTGTCTCATAAGGCGGATACACCAAGAACGAAGTGTCACTGGAAGTCGTCTGCCGATGTTTGTAACAATAATTAATCAAACTTACCTATCTCAGTAGTGGAAATCAAAGTGCCAAACACGAACAAACACTAGAAAAATGGTTTACCCATAGAATTCATCGATGGGCCTTAGTTAAACAAAGACAACCTTGTGATCAGAAAGAGAAGACCTTGCCCACATTAACCCTTCCTACCAGTTGGCTGAGAGAAAGGTACGATTACTGGCAAACGTGCGAAACCTTGGTAGCACGGTAAATGGTAGTCAAAGTCTATGCACAGTGCGAAGACCTGGTCGTCAAGCCAAAAAAATGAGAAATTGGTGAAACATCAGACCTAATCGACCGGTAACCATGCTATCGGATAAGTCACTGAATCCAAGCGTCACGACACTGATGCTATACGATGTAAAAAGAAAAGCCGATTAAGTTTATAAGTTTGTTGTTATGAATAGTAAATTTACCTCGATATGAGTGCTGCCGGCATCCAAGCAATTTTCTAACAATTCTTTGACAGCGTTCACAGGACGCTGAATAACTTCGCCAGCAGCAATTCGGTCGATCACCTCCTTGGGCAACCGTTGAATAGAACACACTTTTGGCGAGTCAGCCGGTTGACAATCGGAAATGGTGCAGGACACGGAATTTACTGTCAACCCGTCCATGGACTCCATTTCCTGAAAGGCTTGTGGAGACAAAAGGTTCCGGAACACAATACTCAATACAGCTGGTGCGAGCGACCGAGATAGATGGAGTAATCTGGAGCAATGAAGATGAGACGCTTGTACATCACAGTTTGTAAACGGGTTGTAAAAATGCACTTCAAGAACCTACCACCATTGAGTGCATAGGCTGCGTTTTCTAAGCAAGACAGGTGCGTTAAGCAGATGCAAAAGTAGGTAAGAAAAATAGTGCAAGCAGCCCGGAGGCAAATAAACTAAATGATACAGATCCCGTGATGATCCGTCTCGTCTTCACAGCCGTACCATGTTGGGCAACAGGCATCCCACGAAAAGCGTCGACGACGTTTTAGTAAGTTTTGAAAACGACCAACTAGTGTACTCAGTGGGTAATTACGTACTACTTCAGTTGGCCTGGCGAAGCCCCATACCAATTTATAGTAGTTAATCTTTCTGAAATCAAGAGATCTCAATCGGTGCCAAGTGTAATACAAGATGTACGTGACGCCGACAGTATGATCTGAGGTAACCAGATGCCTACGAAGTGAAAAACAGTATTCTAACTCAATTTACTGGGGTGGACACGCTTAGGATAGATATTTCGGTTTGGTTAAACTTATTGAGTATGCTAAGCATCGAAAAACAACACATGCGAAGAAGGAAGATGCCAGTCGAGGGAACAAACACGTGCTATGTGAAGCACAGTGTGCACAAAGAGGAAACCCCAAAAACGCAATCGGGAATGTAGATATGGTTGGGCGTGTGGTTGGATAAAAACGCGGATGAGGTGCAGAAACCGGAGCGACGACAAAGATGGTTAAGAGTGGTAGCGCGTCATCAAAATCATTACCAACAGCGACACATCAGCGGTTTAAGCTTATGCTTCGCTGCCGTACAACCATAACGACCTAAAAAGTGATGAGTAATAGGAGAAGGAAGTGGGGACCTAGTGTAACATCTAAACGCTCTAAGCAAACGTTCAGGCTCAAGACACCTACACCTTGTTGACAACATACGGTCACAAACAATGGGCTATCATGCGAAGGCGGCACTGGCGAGACAGCTTACTTGGAGCTTTTACTGCCTCAAGTTATAATGTGTCATCGCCTCTCAAATAACTCAACACTAGGCACAACTGTGAAACAAATCTGCTGAACCTCCCGCTGATGAGGTTGTTTCCGCATAGCCAGGACCGACGAATTTTGCCATTCCAGTGGTGCTGACATTCGGTAAAACCGCTTAAAGGTAACCCCAAGGCCCCACTCATAAATCAGCGGTGCCGAGTAAAGTAAAACCTAGCCGAAAGTGCTCCACATCCCGGTCTAGGATGACGGAAGGTTATCGCGCAATGCACTTTGTGTCGGCTGTGCTTAGCCAACAGAGGGCAGAAACGTTACAGCTAACGACACCGCATAATATAACCTTTGATACTGCGATAAATCCGAAAATAGGTTTTTGGGAATTGTTTTTGTGGACTAGGACTTTGAGCTCGGCTGGAATGAGATAATGAAACGCAAAGTCGAGGATAAATATCATGTACTCCTCGTGATGATGGTTCCGTGCAGCAAAAGTGGAAGCTGCGATGAGGAAACAGGTAGGCAGAGGACGAAGCCACTTAGTTGATTACACTTACAAACCTCGGGCGGATGAATGTCGATACAGGACATCCAGTGAATAATGCGTATGTGGCTACCGGAATGTTAAGTTGAGTACAATAGATTGGCTAAGGTCCAGTGAATGATTACCGTGAGGCTTTGCCATACTCGTTGCACATCTGGAATGCGGCACACTATTAGCACCACGATTTAGTTTAGTATGAACCCCTGTAATTCCGACCATTAAGATAGAATCCAAGGTGGAGATCATCAGTGTTCCTATTTCCCAACATCGCGCTTCACTAACGACCCAATCTTTGCTTGGATTCTTCAAGCGGAGATAACGATCTGAGGCAGTAAATCGAGAAACAAATACTGGACCGTTGGCGTTACTTCATAGCGGCTACATCAGCCTGGATGACCCAGTAGTATCCACATGCTAAGTAATGATTGATGACAAGCAACACAAACCTTTGCCTTGCAAGTATATGAAGTAAGAGGTCAAACAGGTCGAAATAGAATAACAAACTGAGGCAAAACAAGCGAGACTGGGAGGTCTTGAGTGAGAAACAGGTCACAGACTAAAAGAACTGAACACAGGTGATCGTAAGGTATAACACCATTTAACAAAAATAAAGACATCAAATGTTGCTTTATTGCTGCAAAATGTGTTTATGATAAGACAATGTAACTGTACAACAAATTCGATAAATGTCTGTAGGAAAGACGTCTAGGAAAGCTAAAACGGTGCTGTGCAGTTTCGTGATCAGGTGCTATCCATAATGCGGGGCCAAACAATAGGTGCTAAAGCAACGAGTGAATACAGCCGGTCCGTCCTTGTGTCTTGTAGGGGGGCATTTAAGGCGTTTCGGTCGTAGAGGCAGGATCGGGACATGGAAGGACTCGTTGGACCAGTTAGCGTTCGGCTCTGAAGTGAGATCAAAATGCCAAGCTTCTGCAAAGTGGCATACACGATAAGGGGCCTGAAGTACACTAGGACGTTGACCATTTGCACGACATAGGCAATCGATAGAATCGCCCCAAAGGTTTTGCTGTTCGGTGCCCGAAGATGAGACATAATCCTGCCACTCCTCTCGCCGAAAGTGAGCCATTGATTCAACCACTTCGTCTGCAGTAACTCCACCAATCACGTAAAGGGTGGAGCGGGAGACGAAAGCGGATGCGCAGTACCGCGGAAAGTCAAGTACAGTTATGGAACACCATGAATTCTAAGGAGTGGAATGCAAAAAGAATGAACGGCTACTCGGTTATGGTGCAACAAGTGAGAGATATAGAAGAAAGGGTATGGAGATAATGTGCCAAGTGCTACTAGAATAGGCTATCGAGAGCGTGGAAATCGTGCTTATGGATCCTCAATGTGGTAAGGACTACAGGTCAAACAGGTCAAGTAAACACAAAAAGATATGAAATAGAGATCAATCAGACTAGGTGGTCTAAGCAAATGTCCGTGACCAACGTTAGACAATTAATGCTGGAGCGGGTTTCTGGTCAGGTCAACGGCAAAGCTTGTACCAGAGTTCGCTGTTTGTACAGTTCTAGTTTCAAAACTCTGATTGCAATGGCGTCCGCGATGGTTAATATATAATTCTTGAGCAGTTTCGGGTAACTTCTAGGGATGGTATAGACCACTCTAAAGAAATCATTCACCCGAACTTCATGAACAGTTCCAATCAAGTGTTGTAGAATGGAACTATTGTTATTCTTCACTGTGACGCAGGACAGTGCTCAGCAATCCGTTTGGACAAGCAAATGGTCGTATATCCAAGGTTTCTTGCGCCACAGGTGCAAGTGAACTGGTATACGATGAAAGATTCGGACCGAACTGGGAGTGTGTGCTTTAGGTGCTGAGGATGCTGAGATCTGGTTTCAGCAACTAGCTTTGACGTTGCCCCGGCCATAAACCCGCTCCAGCGTTAATTGTCTAACGTTGGTCACGTGCATTTGCGTAGATCGCCTAGTCTGACTGAGCAAAAAAATATAGACCGTGAAGCTCAGTGCTGGAAAAGACAGCAGTCCGTTAACGTCTTCTCCGAACAAATGTGTAATTGCTAACAGAGATTTAAATCCGATTCGGAAGTAAGTCAGAACGGTCTTCAGGAAAACGGGGGATATTCATTGGATGAATTGAATGTAGAAAGTTGAGATGGGCGTAATGGGCATAAACAGTGGGGTGCACGATCGGGAGAGAAAAGCAACGATGATCGTGCTTCACCACTGAATGAAATGGATTACGAAACCAGAAAATAACATCTTACAGTTTTGTGATAAGATACCTGAGCAAAGATTGGAGAGAGTTTCAACAAAACAACTGGACACTTCTATTTCTAAAACCGCTAGTCTTTAGGACCAGAGATTTCTGGCACTGAAAATGCTCAGGCCCACGGTCATTGCAGAAAGGTTGGACTAGAGCAGTTGAGAACAGTACCGTAACTGTTCTAGTAACATAACTTCGTTCCGATTCGAATGAAAAAGTGATCCTGGAGCTTATCCAGGGTACATGAACAGCAAGATGCATTAGAAAGTGGTGCTTACCCGCTTCTAAGTTGTAAGCTAGTACTTGGTTGAACAAAAGCCCTGTGCACATATCTGATCGATTGGCGTGCTCCATGTCTGTTTTTCCACCACAAGCGAAAACGTATTCTTTGGAATCACTGTAAGCCAAGGCTACTCCGATAAGAGGGATTGGTAACCGGGAAACGAAGGTGAAACATGAGCTGCTTTCCTCCGAAGGGTCATACAATATCACGCTGTCAGAAACACGCATCTCTGCACCGTCTTCGTGAAGACCACCGGCAATCAGAACCAAACCTTCAAGGTAATGAACCGTCGCACCACGTTAAGGTCCAGTCTTCTTGCGACGGTTTCGAACGTAGAGTGGTGAATGTATGGAACGGCCTGCCGCAGCACGTAGTTGAGGCAGTCGGTGTCGGAATTTAAGAAGTTCCTGGACAAACACTTTGCCGACGCAAAATATGTTGAGCGCAACACAACATAACGAGTCTTTGTACCTGAGTGACATTAGATGCAACTACACAGAGCAACCTCTACTTGCTGCTTCCAACCAGTAATCAGCAATGCATCCACTTTTCCCTGTGGTCTGCAGAAGTCCGCCTTCCGGTCAACCCAAACAAGTTGGTATTCATAAGCCAGGGATAGGTTGGTATCAGCCGAACCTACACTTTTGACGACCAACTGCTACATCCCACACCTTCCGTGAAGGACCTAGGCGTGCTCTCACGTTGCGATTTGAAGTCCGTGGACAACAAGAACAGGCTACATCGAAACGGACTGCGCATGGTCTGGGCATTAAGGCGCAGCCTCTGCACCTGGTCTGAATAGGTTGTCACTCGCCTCTTTTTCTTTATCATAAGACGCCAGCCCTTAGCCTAAAGTATCACGAGCCTGCGTAGGGGACCGGGCGACGCTCGCAGTATCCGTAGCCCACACGCGACTGTTGGTGGTGGCGCGGCAGCAAAGCATCTATACTGCCTACCGGCGTATTGCTGATACCTTTCACCACAAGATAGTTGC